CTCCTACTCTCCAGTTTGGAAGCACCATGAAATGTTTTTGCATTTTGGAAGATATTGATACTTTAAAACAAATACAATCTTTCTTTTCTTTTTTATTTAGATATTACCAAAACACACAAGGTAAAACCATGGATAGCTAGTCTTCTGGCAGGTTTTACAAGAGTTTGGGCACTTCTTAAACCAGCATTAGAAAAAGATTTGTGTCTTTTTAGAAAAAGAGGACTTGTTATGGAAATAATATACTTAAAAATATATGGAAGTACAAACTGAATGTGTGTTCGGACACTTTATTGCATATTATTTACAATGAAATTAGTCAATTAAAAAGTAATTAAAATTAAAATGTATAATAAATTATAATTTAAACTTATATTAAATGTTGAGGTGTGTTTTGGATCTACTTAAACCGAACTTAAGTACACCTTTATATGCAATTTCATAATTACTTCTATTGTCTTTGTAATATGTTTAAAGTGTATACTGACAAGCATTTATGGTAAACTAAAATATACTTTAATGTAATTCTATTGAAACCTGTATGTATTTAAATATATATATACAATTTAGTACATTTAAAATAGTCACTTAAAATAAAGCTACAGTTTATAATAAAGTACTTTACATGTGCTTTAGTATGTTAGCCAACCCAACTTTGGGTCAAATATGGACTAACCCAACTTTTGGGTTAAACATTTAATGTAAAAATTTAACCCAACTGTTGGGTTAGTTCATATTTGACCCAAAGTTGGGTTGAAACAACCCAGCATTTTTAGAGTGTACATTACAATACAATTAACTAAGCCATCTTTTTTCACAAGTGCTACTACTGTAAGACCAACAAACCTGTTTAGGCTGTTCAGCAGGGAAACTGCCATAAAAGAATAATATAATTATTAGATCCAGAGTAAAACCATACGTCCGCAGGGCAGGTTGCCCACTTATGCATCCACCCACATAATACCGGATGAACTTGACAGAATGAACGGGAAACGTTTGCAAGTTTCGTCCTCCCGCTGCAGCCGTCGACTTTGAATTTTAGTTCATCACTATTTCATCATTAGCTCATTTATTTCTTCACAATACGGAAATACGACATACTGAGTCATGTGAGGACATACGAAACGCGTGAAATCGCCGAGGGCAGATGTCCGTTACAGCGTAAACATGTCGGAACCGAGAGTAAAGCGAATAAAAACTTGCCTTCCCCTCTGTAAAACACATATATCTTCTGCTGGGAGTCTAGCGAGGCAAAACTTCCCGACTGTCGTGGAGGAAAGTCTGTGTGGAGTTTCCACTTTGCTTATGGAGGTCTCTTACAGACTGGAAGCGCTGGTAAGAACTTTACTGTAAAACATGATGCAAAGTTATAGGGCTATAGCACCCCAAATCATCAGTGTAGCAGAATTAAACTGCTTTAATTTGCCACATTGCCTTGTGAAGATTTATATTTATAGAGATGTATGCTAAACTGCGTTGTATGGGAAAGTTTAGTATCAGGTTGTTGTCAGCCTACTGTATAGTAACCCCCACCCAGCCCGAGACCACCAAAGACACCCTGTATAAATACACTGGATATTATCACTGTATCGCTGTTTTATTAAAACTTCATTGGGTAAAAGAAAAACAAGTACGTCTGAGATGATAAACATAAGTAATATTTTAAAAATGTACTTTTAGAAAAAGTCCTTAGAAATGCCATCTTTTCATTCAAGTTGGTTTATAGAGTTTTGAAAAAAACGTTTTTACCATTTTCAACAAAATGTTTTAAAAAGTACATTTTTCTTTTTCTTTCTTTTTTTTTTTTACAAAGATAACAAATCATGAATATCAAAAACTTACTGATCTCAACACAGTCAAGGGGGTCTAAAGTGGTCCTCACTTTAGTTAGTTCTTGTCACATGACAACAAAATGTCTTCTTATCACATGACCTGACACTTTTTTGTAATATTATTAACAATAATAAAGTATTTTGCCACTTCTTTTGCCAAATTTCAGTGTGATTGTAATAGATTTATTGTTTATTTATAAAGCACATTTAAAAACAACCAAGACTGAACAGAGTGCTGTACAATATGACATTATAAGGTAATAATAATAATAATAATAATAACTAGAGAAAAACAGTTAAAAGTGAAACTTAAGCTGAAATTAAAATAATAATAAAATAATATGCCTTTAGAGCAGGCTGAAATAGAAGGGGCTAATATGATTATTATTATTACTATTATTATTATTATTATTATTATTATTATTATTATTATTATGTTTGAAATAAATAGAAAGCAAAAACAATCTTATTTAAAAAAAACATCCTGACCCATTTTCTTCTCTTACAGGAAACATTACAGGAAACTGTGGTTAGCAAAATAATTTTTGACTTAGTTTTGTTCTAAATCAGATCTGTCTTCCGTTCTGTGTTTCAGGCCAAAATCTTTGAGCAGAGTGATGTGGCTTTACCCAGAGTGTCTGCGTATTTTCATCAGGAATCAGTGAAGGAACTAGAGCGGGCAGAGGCAATGCTGCAGTATCTGTCCCAGCGCGGAGGAAAATACTGCAATAAGAACATCCAGGTAACTCACCCATCTAACCAGTTAACCAGAGCACCACCACAAGACTTGGCCGAAGTGCCCTGTATTTTTGCTTAAAAGAAATAGCACCTAGATATGGAACAAAGAAGGTATCTCATTCGTTTAAACTCATGTTTACTCAAAGTGTTATGATCATAAGCCTATTTTTTCTTTTGACCCTTGTCAGCAGCAGCTCTTAAGGGGGATGGAGGGCAGAGAGAACGAGAGCAATGGGGGTAAGCCAGCGGGGGGTTTTGCAGAGATCTCCCCTTTAATGGCTGTTAGGGTATACGTTTCCCCTGAGTTCCGGAAAATTGGCGAGATTAATGTGAAGGCGGAAGAACAGTGCATTAATTGTAGTTCCAGATGGATTCCATGGCACTCGCTGCTGTCACTTTACACTGCGTCCTCTCTTCTCCTTTCTCTTCTTTCTATTTTTTTTTAACTTTCCAGCCTTTGTTGATTTTATGACTCGTGTAAAATTGATCCGGAATGGGACTGGTGAGGGTCCATCAGCAGCGATTTTGAACACCTTGTTAGCCGCTCATCCGTGCGGGGTGATGGTTGGACACACTTGGAAACAACTGTGTGCTGTCTTACTTAATTGTAGCTCAATTCAAATTTGACCAATACATGGACTGATCCATTTAGATGGTTTTTAAGTTGTTTAATAAAGCTTTTGCAGCATTTTTACAGCATAGAAGAGTTATTTACATTATTTCAATGATTATTTATTCAAAAATACATGTAAACGATTTGTTATTTATGCTCACTAAGGCTGCATATACAGTAAATATTGTGAAATATTATTGCAATTTACAATAACTGTTTCCTATGTGAATATATTGTAATTTATTCCTGTGATCAAAGCTGAATTTTCAGAATCGTTACTCCAGTGTTCAGTGTCACATGATCCTTCAGAAATCATTCTGATATGCTGATTATGCTGAAATGTCTTATTAATATCAATTTTGAAAACTGCCTAATATTTTGTGAAAAATTCTGACATGAATTGAAATTTCAAAAGAACAGCGTTTATTTTGAATAGAAATCTTTTGTAACATTATACATTTTTTTACTGTCACTTTTGATTACATCCTTACAGAATAAAAGCATTAACCTATTTTTAATTATGAGCATGTTTTTACATTTCTGAATTAAATGTTGATTTTTTTTGGAACAAAGTGCTACAGCTGTCCTGTTATATTATGAAGAAGACACAATTAAAAGACTTAAATTCTTGAAAGAAACCCCTTTTTAAGTAGTTTGGCATAATATTTTATTAGGAAAAAATAGTTTAACAAAATATTTTCATTTCTTCTTTTTCTTCTTCTTCTTCTTCTTCTTCTTCTTCTTATTATTATTATTATTATTATTATTATTATTTAAAAAAAACCTTTATAAAATATCAGATCATTTGATTTTTTTCCGGTTTGTGAAATGTCATGTGATGCAACTCCCAAAAACGTAATGATATTTTGAATAAATAATCTGTGATATTTGTAAAAACTTTTAACCTTAAAAAAAATATTAAAAAATGTGGTCAAAAATAATGATTAAGCACACTCACATGCATCCAAAATGTCAGGAAATTGTTACTATTTACTTGATGGTAACACCGCATGACATTTTTATAGTGATTCAAGTGAAACTTTTCTTTAAAATGTTAAATTTTTTTAAACCATATGAAACCAACATAAATACAAAAGGTACATTTCAAAGTACTTTGTGTAAAAGTTTTAATGTTTTTTTGTTTGTTTTTTAATCATGGACACTTTTATTTGTCGCTGACCCAAATGTGATCTGCTGTGATTCTACCATGATGAATACCTTACCAATTAGACACAAAATTTAGTTTAGAAAAGCATGTGTAACTTCAACAGCACTCAAGGCCAAGCTATATCAGCCCCGTCCCAAATGGCACACTCACGGGCTTCCCTCACAAGCGTCTGTGAAGTCCAAGCGCCTGTAGGGGCTATTAGATTTTAGAAGGGTGCTGGAAAGCTGCATTCACCAATCAGCTCCCAGAACCGATTCATTTTATATTTAACCTACAATATGTAACATTTACAGAGGTCATGCACTGAACAGGTGTGTGCCGTCCTTCCTGCTCTGGAGATCATGCTTAACCAGTGGAAGGAGGAGATGAGCGTCATGCTGGAGCTGAATCAGCTGGCGCATGAGTACGGAGATCCACACACCGCCAGCGTAATCAAGAGTCAGTTCATTCAGCCCCTCGTCCCAAAGGTCAAACTCGTCGGTGACCTCTTGACCAGCGCTCGCAGAGTGAGCTGCACCGGTGACAGCACGGGTGGCTTTGGCGAGTACCTCATCGACCGGCTACAAGAGACCGCTTAGTCTTTCTCTTTGTTAATCATTTAGGAACCATGTTTGCACTGTAAAAAGTGACTATTCAAAGTAGTAAAAAAAAGCAAAGATTATTGGAGTACCTTTTACAAGAATAGCCTATTTCATCTTAATATTTCAACTGAATTATTTCATTTCAACTTAATAATTTTGTGTTTAATTCAATGTGTTACTTGCCATTTCTTTGTAATTATTTGTGAAATTGACTAGCCTAATAATGTTTCAAAGTAAATCCTACACCTAATTTTTTAAGTGTGTGCCTTTGGCCCTTAAACAGATTACATATTACATAAGTCTGAGAAAGATTACATATTGGTCCAAAAGGGAAAATAAAGTGCATAAATGCACTCACAATAGTGCCAGTTTTGTATGTAACAAGTCTCTCCAGTTGTAGATATTTTAATGTCATTCCAGTAAAATCAATGTATTCTTTAGTGACAGTAAGCCGAATAAGAGTTTAAACTTCATTCTCTCTCTCTCATTTTATTTTATTATTATTATTATTATTATTATTATTATTATTTAGTGCTTCACAATTATATATGGAACACTGCATTGCCCTGTTTATCCTGTGTGTGAGAAATGTATTTGTATTTATTTTTAAAAACAATATTGTATTTTATTTTATTTTTACTTTTGAAAAGTAAATATATATTTAACATTTGCATGTCTTTGTTTAGTGAGCATTATTTCAAATGAAAATGACATTTGTATTTTTTGGAAAATTAAATATTGTAGTATATTTTAGAATATTTGACCTTGTCTTCTATGTTTTGACTTTTGAATGTTATCCTGCACTGTTTTTAATAAACACAAAATGTATATGCGTACATGTGTATTTTTTTTTTTCTTTATAGCATAAAAAGTGCTGGTAAAAGAAATACAGTAAAATATGATTGTGTCACACAATTGTCAGGCTATGTGACAAATGAGTTTAACATAAAACATTTTTAACATAAAATCTTAGGATATATGTAAAACCAGTTTACAATCTATCAACTCCAGCAGGCTCTATTCAGGCAAAACGTACTAATAGGAGAGACAGAGGAACTCTCTCTCTATCTCTCTCTCTCTCACACACACACACACACACACACACACACACACACACACACATTTAGAGCTTCTCAAACAGAAAAGTAGTTTTAACTCTCATCTGGCTCTTTAACGCCCCCTTTTGTTGGACTGTTGTGCGGCTAGCAGCTATTGTAAGAAACGCAAAGTAAACTTGGCAACATCATAAATAGATCATGAAATAAATACTTTAACTTTACCTTGTAGATTTTTTTTCTGTAATTAATTCATAAATAAATAAAGTACACCTTGGAAAAAGCATTTGTAATCTATTGTGTTGGTGTGTGTGCGTGTGTGTGTTTTTATTTTTATTTTTTAAAGCATGTGTAATATAAACGTGTATTAATATATAAGTGTTGTAGTGCTCCAGTGTTTCATTAAACAACTGATCCAAACCAAAAATGATTCAGAGTAGGTCTAGGTTTTTTTTGTTTTTGTTTTAAACACTGGTAAGCATCCATAACATTCAATATATTTAAGCCTTAACTGCTATACACATGTGCATGTATTTCAATGTATTTTAACAATATTTATTTTTAATATTTAATAGTTATTTATCACTCGCGTTCGTTTTTCGATTAAGCATACTAAGGAAGAACATCTTTATGCATGGAGCACTGGAAACCAAAACAAAATGTTAACAGTTCTGTTCTGTTCTGTTAGGGTATTACTGAATTGTTTGTCATCTTATCAAATGCAATAGTAGGCTACAGACTTATCAAGCAACAAATGATAGTTGAAAGATTCCCTTAGAAAATATAAAAGGGAAGTCCTTCCTCGAATGTTTCCTGGGAAATTTCAGGAAATTGTAAGCTAAAATCTGTGACTTGATGACAAACAAACAAGTGAAAGAGATTACAACTCAATACACATATGAAACAACGCAGTAATAGCAACTTTTACCATTATTTATAAATTAATTCATAATTTTTATTAGTTGAAGTGCCAGACAGTCAAAACCACGCCCTCTTTCTAAACTCACGTTCATTGGTCAATCTGTCTTCTGCAGGACACGCCCCTGGCCGGCTGGGCTGTATATAAACAGGCCCTGATCTCTCACCAGCAACAAGTACCTGAAGGGCACAAGCAAAGAAACCTTTCCAGGATCTGCGATTTTGTTGTCTTGAGCAACACAGTTGTTTCAGGGTCGGGAGGAATTTGTCTTAATATTCCTAAATCCTCAAAAACTTTACCACTTGGGAAGCATTCAAGTATAGGCCTACCCATTTGTTGTTTTTACCTTAACACATAAAGATGGAGTTGTCGGATATTCCCTTCCCCATCCCGTCAGCTGATGATTTCTACGACGACCCTTGCTTCAACACCAACGACATGCACTTCTTTGAAGACCTGGACCCCAGACTCGTCCACGTGAGCCTGCTGAAGCCCGACGAGCATCACCACATGGAGGACGAGCACGTGAGGGCCCCCAGCGGGCATCATCAGGCCGGCAGGTGCCTGCTGTGGGCATGCAAAGCCTGCAAGAGAAAAACCACCAACGCTGACCGCCGCAAAGCTGCCACCATGAGGGAGAGGAGAAGACTGAGCAAAGTCAACGACGCTTTCGAGACCCTCAAGAGATGCACGTCCACCAACCCCAACCAGAGGCTGCCCAAAGTGGAGATTCTGAGAAACGCCATTAGTTACATTGAGTCTCTGCAGGCGCTGCTCAGGGGTCAAGAGGAGAACTACTATCCCGTTCTGGAACATTACAGTGGAGACTCCGATGCCTCCAGCCCGAGATCCAACTGCTCTGATGGCATGGTGAGAAGTTCATTTTATAGGCCTATACTGTAGCTAGAGATAAGTATCGTAATTATATTATTTAATTTAGTTTGGGCTATATTTATTTGGTCGTTCGTTCATTCAATAATGGTTTATACTTGGTTTTATACTTTAAAACTTGGTTTACTTATGGGCAAATAAGAATTATTATAGCTTACCGGATTATAACTTGGTAGCATGTTATCTTTCTCGAATGATAATGTCACATTAAAAAATAATAATATTTAAGCTTAATAATATTAAGCATTCATAGAATATTCAGTAATTATTTGTAAAATAGGCTATGCTTTAAATGTGTGTCTTTAACTCATTTTCTTTTTGTATTTTCTAGATGGATTTCATGGGTCCTACATGTCAGTCGAGAAGACGGAGCAGATATGACAGCTCATACTTCAACGACACGACAAATGGTAGGTCATGCGTCGAAAACTGTCATTGTACTAAATAAACAAACACACATTGAGTGAGTCACAGTTAAAATTATTTTACAAAATTATAAAAAAATATTTGCGTTAAAAGTTAAAATCGCAATTGAGTTAAAAATTAAATCTGCTATTTTATCTTTTTTTTTTTTTTTTTTTTTTTTTTTACAGATGAA